CATCTTTCAGTCTAGGGGTCTTAGACTCACAGAGTGTTCTCTGCTAACTTGCCCCTCTGATAATCAGCACAGTACTTTGGAAATTCAGAATATTCATTTATTTCTCCCAAGGCTTCTCATCAGCTACCCCCATGACTAACAGTTTATTTGCACATGGCGTTCCTAATTTTCATTTCTATGAGAGAGTGTGCACAGTATCGTTGGAGAAAACTGAATATTTTCTATGATGAAGTAAAATTATATCATTTTGGCTGGTGTCAGTATGATATTTGTACAGAGTTAGTAGTCACCTCAAAGGGACTCATTACCACATTCTGCAGATCCAAACCACATCCACACTTTCTACAACTCCCAAAGCCTCCCCCCAGTTCTGTCCACTTCTGAACAATACTCTTCTCAGACTTTATTCATTCATTTCAACAAATATTTATAAAGCAGCTACTATTTGTGAGGCCCTATGACAGGCACTGTCGATACAATAACAACACACAATAAAAGAGACAGGCCTTTGCCCTCGGGTTCCCTACCTACTGGCTCTAAAGACAGACAAGCAAACGGGCAAACACACTGGAGTGTGACGAGTCCCGGCGACACTCACCTGCAGCAAGAGCAGGTGCAACCAGATTCCCGCAGGTCCCTGTCGTCCATCTCAAATGTGCTGCATCCCAACCCCACTCTCTTCACCCTCGTTCCTTTCTCAGAGCCAGAGAAGTTTCTGCTCCCCTTGGGGTTAACCATCCTTTGTGGGCTTGATCCCTCTGCCTCTTGCGTCGCCTTCACTCTGCTCTTATTCCTCCTTCTTTACCTTTATTATCTCCCTTTTCCTTAGCTCCTTCCTGCTCCTTATAACTAGTCTGACCTTCTTTGAAAGAAAACCTTTCTTGTATTAGTAAAATAAAAAATTAGGTCAATTATTCATTTATTCGTTTGCAATAAGCATTTGTTGAGATGCCACTATATGCCAGGTACTGGATATTAGGGGTGAACAGGAGAGAAACGGTCACTTCTCTCACTGATTTTATAATACAAGGAAGGAAGATGGACCCAAAGAAAATCCAAACAAAAATTAGGAGAATAAACCAAAAATGTAGTAAAAGAATCCCACATGTTAAAAATTGGTAAAATGTAAAGAGTAACCAGAGTAGGTCAGCCGGGATGACCAGGAAGGCGTCTCTCAAGAAAGAGTGAATTCGGGAGAGCCCCACAGTGAGACATTCCCATCCTTGTGAAAAGCGAGCAGAGGAGTATGTGGGCAGAGAAAATGTCACCTGCAGACGTCCTGAGCCAAAAAAAATCTTGGTTTGTTGGTGATACCGGAGAGTGGGGAGCTTGGGAGGGGGTGGCATGAGATGCTGCTGGAGGGTGGCCAGGGACAGATCACACTGGGCTTTGTAAGCCATGATAAGCACCTGGATTATATTTTAAGGGACATGGGAATCCACTGAAGGATTTTAAGCAGGGGATAGACATGATCTGAGTATAGTTTGTATGCTAGACTGAGAGGTAGGGTAACTACATGCTCTGTTTTGCCCAGGACAGTTCCGGTTTATTCCTGTCATCCAGGTATAATTATCAATAATGCCCCTTTCACAATGGAAAGTGACTTGGGTTAGATGATAAACTATACAGCCACACTTAAGCAGAGGCGGAAGCCATGAAGATGGGGAGACTACTGAGACAGCTGTTGCAGGAACCCAGGTGAGAACAGGTGTGGCCAGGAACGTGGAGGTGCACGTGAGACCAAGCTGATGGGCTAGAGATGAATTTTGGAAGTAGAATCACAGGGCTCGCTAGTGGATTGGATGTGGAGGTAAAGGCAAGGGAAGCATCAGGCACATTTCCGAATATCTGGGGTGAGCCACAGAGGGAAGAGTCGTGTCATTTGCTGAATTGGAGTGGCCTGGGGGTGAAGAGCTCTGGAGGGAGATGAGCGTTTCCTTTGGACACGCAGAGTGTGAGATCTCTGGAAGCCATCCAATCAGAGGTTTCAGGAGACCAATCAGATAAACAAGCATGGAGCCTGGAAACCAGGTTCTGAGGGGGAGATATAAGTTTCAGAGCCGTCAGCATGTAGATACTATTTGCTGCGCTTGTTGGGGAGAATACAGAGAAATAAAAAGTGCGAGCCCAGAACCAAGTCTGAGGGACACTTAGGGTTTGGGGAGATGAAAAGACCCAGCTAAGGACATAAAGGAAAACTGCAGGGAAGCAAAAGGAGAGTGTGGTACTATGAAGCCAAGAGAGAACCTTCCAGGAAGGAAGGAGAGGACAACTGTGCTGAGCGTGGCTCAGAGGCCTCCTGATAGGAGGAGAGAAACATGTCAATTGTTTTGGCAACATGGAGGTCAGTGGTGACCAGAGCTGTTTGGCTGAGTGGTGGGGACAGAGGTCAGGCTGGTGGGGGTTCAAGTGTGAGTCAGAAGCAAGGAATCAGAAAGTGCAGATGGGCAGGGTTTTTTTGTTTTGTTTTGTTTTCTGCGGTACGCGGGCCTCTCACTGTTGTGGCCTCTCCCGTTGCGGAGCACAGGCTCCGCACGCGCAGGCTCAGCGGCCACGGCTCATGGGCACAGCCGCTCCGCGGCACGTGGGATCTTGCCGGACCGGGGCACGAACCCGTGTCCCCTGCGTCGGCAGGCGGACTCTCAACCACTGCGCCACCAGGGAAGCCCGATGGGCACGTTTTCAACAAGTCTGACTATAAAAGAGGAAGAGGAAAACGGGCAAGAGTGAAGAGTGATGTGGATTGAAGTCAGGGTTTTCAATGTGGTGCTTCATTGGGAAAGCTGTTACTGACTGTCTGGCCTCTGCAAGGTTTTGCCCATGTGTGGAACAAGCACATTTTCCTCCCTGGCGTGAGTGTCACTGGGTGTCCTGTGCATGAGAAGAGCACCACAGGAGCTGGGCGGAAGGAAAGCACAAACCAGGAAGTGTTTGTGTCCTACAACGTCCCTCCTGCGCCCTGAAAGGACAGAGATTAACACCGTGCCCAGCTGGCACAGGAGAAGTGTTTACAGGGTCCAGTTCCAGTATCACAAGTGGGTCAAAGAAGGGTGGACGTGGAGCTCAGAGTAAATAAACTGATAACCGGCACACACTTCTACTCTGAAAGAGGGATTCAGGAGCACTCCTAAGGGGAGACGATTCATGATGAAATGATCTCTGTAGGGGAAAGATAAGTGTCATTTCCTCGTCAAGGAGGGAGAAAAAGTGTGCCTGTAAGGTAGTTAGTCACAGGAGAACTTTCTCATACAGTTCGCATCAGAAGGCACTGTCAGAGGTGTACGTAGAGGAGGCTTAAGGGGGATTAAGGCTGTGTCTCAGAAAAGTGAGTCTGACAAAATAAAGCAGGAGCAGGGTAACTGGGATAAGGGAGAGTGTGGTGGCAGATTGGCTGGCAAGAACAGGCTCAAAGCACTGCTGAGTTTAGGGTTCTAGTGGTAAAGTCTCAACAGACCCCAGGTTGTAAGGCGACTCCTGTCATGAGAATGTTCACTATTAGATTTCTATCCCAGGTACTGAAGGTATAGAATTTGCAAAATGCGGGGAAAGAAAGGAAAAGTAGGAGAAAGGATGACTTGAAAGTTTGGAAAAAGCAAGTTCTCCAAATTATTGTAAATAGGAAAAATTTAATAATCAGCCTTTTTATTACTTGAAATAAAAGTTGGATACACAAGTCTATTCACCATTCTTTTTTTTTTTTTTTTTCCTTTGGCTGCATTGGGTCTTCGTTGCTGCGTGCGGGCTTTCTCTAGTTGGGGCGAGCGGGGGCTACTCTTCATTGTGATGCGTGGGCTTCTCATTGCGGTGGCTTCTCTTGTTGCGGAGCACGGGCTCTAGGCGCTCGGGCTTCAGTAGTTGTGGCGTGTGGGCTCGGTAGTTGTGGTGCACGGGCTTAGCTGCTCCGCGGCATGTGGGATCTTCGCGGACCAGGGCTCGAACCCGTGTCCCCTGCATTGGCAGGTGGATTCTTAACCACTGTGCCACCACAGAAGCCCCTATTCACCACTCTTTACAGTGTTAGACCATTTTGCTTCTTGGAATCGGTAATCTGAAAAAACCACACACCGAAACCAAAGTTTTTATCCAAGGAAAAAGGTTATTGGTGCATCTAGGAATTTGTGATTTATGGAGTCACTCATAATTCCTGTGCTCTAACAGGCCCAAACCCCTTTTATTAGACACTGTTTTCCTGAATAAGAAGTAACATGCGGGGACTTCCGTGGCAGTCCAGTGGTTTAGACTTGGAGCTCTCACTGCCGTGGGCCTGGGTTCAATCCCTGGGGGGAGAACTAAGATCCCACAAGCCGTGCGGCATGACTGGAAAAAAAGTAACATGCTGCTGGCTCTCCTCTGTTGGGAAGCGTCCAGGGACGGAAAATGACTTCCTCTCAAGGACCTGATACATATCCAATGCAATAGAAAACTTCCTGATACTGCACCTTGATGTTGTCCCTATGCCTCCGTTTCTGGACATGTTTATTCCTGGACACTTGCATAAGGCGAGGAAAATAGAGTGAAGGGAAACAGCGTTGGAGGCACTTCTGGATGGCACAGACAGAAATTGGTTCATAGATGGATTTGTAGCTGCTGCTGAGAAATGAACAGAAGATCAAGGTGCAGTTGCTGGAGCAGGATTCCACGATCCAGTCCTCCCGAGGCGGTGTCCCCTGCCCGCACACAGACACCACTGAGGACGAACTAAGGGGACTAGACCCCAGGGCAGAGAAGCTGACAGGACACAACTGCCAGGGAGTGAAGAGGCCTGAATACAGAAGGGCCTAGAAAGAGCACCACTGTAACCAGAGGGGCCTGGAGGGGAGCGGGTCTGATTAGGGGAAGGGGTGGAGCAGGGTGTCTGCCCTGTATGATGCTGAGAGTGTGGCCCCGACACCCAAGACACAGGCACAGACTCGGCCATCACGTGGGTGTCCAGCCATCACCCCTTGGGAACAAACAGGCTGTCCTTATATCAAAGAATAACACACGGTTTTCAACATTCAATCTCTTAAGCATTTATTAGATCTGCTGGCTTCTGTGGACAGAGAACTCACTAGCTCAGCATCCCTGCCCTTGGGGGCTCACAGCCCCATTGTCGTCTCCTGAGCAGAGTGAGAGGCAGCTCAATACTTGTCGGGCAGGCCAGCAGGTCTGAAGTGGTTGGGGTCTTTGCCGCTCCGGCCCCATTCATTGGCAGCCTGGTCGGCCCTCGAGTCCTCCAGTCCGTGGCCACTGTCTCCATGCTGAAAAAAGTCTGTGACTCTCGGAATAGTCTCTCTGGCATCGCTGGAATGGAGGAGGGCAGGTAGGGGATTAGTGCAGGGCTGACGAGCAACAGCCCACCCTCCCCATCTCTCCTCTTTCCAAGGAATCAAGGACTCTGACAGGAGCTAGGAAAGAGGGGAAGAAGCCTGAGGCTGCCCGGGCTCAGCCCACCTCAGCCCTGCGGGTCCCCTTATGCTGGGTGAACGGCACCCATGGGGGCGGCGTGGGAATCGTCTGTGCCACCAGCCTTGCTCTGCTCTTCAGCCACTCAGACCCCACACAGGACAGAGGGTGAGGGTGGGTAAGAGGAGGAGCGGCCACAGCCCTACAGGAAGTTCTCCAGGGCTTGGCCCCTCCCGGCTGTCCGAGGCTCTCACACCCATCGCTGCATCCTCAGGGCCCCTGGTACCTGATCACTTTGGCAGCCCAGGCGCCCCCAGGTCCCCTTTGGGCAGCGTCATAGTTGCCCCGGGCGTGGAAGTACTTATCGGAATTTTTGAAATTGGCTTCTCTCATGTCAGAGTAGGCTCTCCACATGTCTTTAGCCCCTGGCAGGAAAGCACATAGAGAAAGGATTATCAGGTGGACAGAAAACTGTGACACACCTTAGGGAAGAATCAAGGAATGAAAAATCTTCCACTGCCTCAGTTTCATCTTGTGGCTACAGCACCATGAGTGCCATAGATTGAGAAGAGCATTTTTTGTGCCTACTTTCCTGCTCCTGGTAACTCGAATGAGAGTCGTTATGGGGGGAGGGGCACAGCTGTGTTGGACCTGGTTGTCGGGCCCCTATGATGCTGTCTCTGGACTGCATCTCTCTTAGGGCTCTATGTGATATGTTTAAAGGAGAGAAGGGAGCTATCTTTATAGGGCAGGATTCCTCGGCTTCATACTATTGAAATTTTAAGCCAGATAATTCTTTGTTGTTCAGGGCTGTCCTGGGTATTGTAACACGTTTAACAGCATCCCTCACTTCTACCCACTAACGGGCAACCTATTCCCCAAGTGTGACAACTAGAAATCTTTCCAAACATTGCCAAATATCTCCAGGACACGAAATTGTCCTTGGCCCCGAGCCACTGTTCTAAAAGGAAGCTGCATAGGATAAGATCCAGGGGACTTGGGTGAGTGAGGAGGTGACATGGGGGACAGATTCTGAGAAAGGGGCAGACATGGAGCACCTGTGCCCTGACGCCTAAGAAATGTATCCCTGCTGCGCGAATGCGCTAGATGTGCCTTGATTCCCCTGCCGTTAGGCACGTAAATGGCATCCTGAGAACTTTCTAGTGGACGGTATTGATGATGTGGGCTGCCTGAGGAAGCAAGCCCTCGAGCAGTGGGTCTTTTCCTCAGCCTGGTTACACTTCCCAATCAGCTGGGGAGATACTGAAAGTCCCATGAGACTTACCTCACAGCCCAGGCCAATTACCTCACACTCCCTGGGGTGGGTCTCAGGCATCAATAGTTTTCATTGCTCCCCAGGTGAATCCAACATGCAGCTGAGATTGATAAGCCCCCAGCTTGAGGAAGTGGTACTGGGACAAGTCTGCCCAGCAAGAGCTTTGGCCTCATGCCCAGCTGGGTTCAAACTTCTGTCCTGCCACCTGCTGACTGGCACTTAGTCCCTGGGCAACGGACTCGGCTGCTCTAAGCCTCGGTTTTCTCCCCTTCAGATGGGGGAAGATGCCTCCCTCATGGAGGTATTCTGCAGGTAAGTAGGTGACCACCTGTCCCGGCCTAACCAGAACTGCCCCTGTTTTCCTGGAACTGCCCCAGTTAGCGTTGAAAGTGTCCTGGAAAAGTCCTCAGACCTGGGCAAAGCAAGAGAGTTGGTCACCCTGAAGTGCATGTAAGGGCCGAGTTCCTACTGGAAGCTTGAGATATGTTGTTAGGTTCCCCGTGGTCGCACACGGTTTTTTTGGTCAGTTAAAAGGCTATAAAAGGGTAGGAAACAGACTAAACCAGGGACAGTGTCACTGAGTACAGGAAGCCGGAGCAAGAGCTAAGCTGAAGGTCGCTGGATTATCCAATTAGGAAATGGAAGGTAAGAAGGAAGAGAAGAAGAGAGGAAGGAAGGAAGGAAGCGGGAAAGGGAGGGAGGGAGGGAGAAATGAGTGGAGGCAGCGGAGAAGAGAAGGGAAATAGATGGATAGCTTTCATCCTACGTCATGCAATTGGTCTGAGGGAAATGCTGTACCATTTCAAGACTCACTTTATGTCTTCCATTCAAACTTCCATTTCAGCTGGGAATGATGGCTGTTCTTTCTCTAGTGACTGATTGACATAAATCCTGTGGTTTTCAATCTGTCTGAGAAAAACCTCCCCAAACACCTGGCACATTCTACCACATAGGGCAGCGCCGCCTAAGACAGTAGCTCCAACCCTTAAGAGTGCTCATGGTGAATCCCAGAGGCCCAGGGGTGTCGTCATCCCTCCACCAGCCTTACCTTCATAAGCCTCACCAAGGAAGGAAAACCATCGGCTGTGGACTCCCAGCACCAAGGAGCAGAGAATGAGGCCTGTGAAAAGCTTCATTGTGCTGGAATGAAAGGAGAGGGTCAGGGAGACACGGACAAGCCTTGTACACCCACTTTGGGATGTGTATGTCGAGGAGAGCCCGGCTGTTCTTTCCACTTGTTCTCATTAGACTCTCAGCGGTCCGCCTAGGGAATATTGCAGTAGGACCTCACTCGGAGCCACTAGCCCTCAGCTCTGAACCCACCAACCCTGAACCCAAGCCTAAGAGGTCGCCAAGGTGTCTATGGTGGGAGAAGAGGGCAGCTGGGACCTAGCCGTGTCTCGCGAAAGCAGCCTGGAATTAATCAAAAAGCATTTCCCATGCGCCACGCTGCCAGCACTGACCTCATCCAGGACAAATACAAAACAGAAGAATTGAAGTAAGTGTTTTCAAAGAAATCAGTCCTTGGAGAAGTTTCTCACCTGAACCCGGTGGAGCAGACCTGCTGGGGACACGTGGCTGTATTTATACTGAGCCATCCCTGCTGGGGTCATGGGGTGAGAAGGAAAGCTGGACTGGTGCCTGAGGGAGAGTCCCTGCAGGTCATTTCTCCTACAAAACTGCAAAGGGTAACTTACGGGAGACCAGTGGCTGTCCTCATCCACAGGTCACATTCCTCATTGTGCAACCCTGAGAAAATAGGGAGGCCTGTTCTCCCTGGTGGCCGCTGTCAGGGGTGGAGGGGCTGAGCAGAAGAGGAGAGAGGGTGTGGAGCTCCAGGAAGGAGGCCCCCAGGCTGCTGGCAGGTGTGTGGTTAGAGGACACTCCTCCAGCCTGGACCTTGCTTTCCTGGTCGTTTCCTCAGGATGGTCCCTTCTGGACCACACAGCAGCTGTGTCAGAAATTAAATCCTTTGAACTCATGTGTAAAGCCCTTGAGCTTCAAAATTGACAGGCCACCCCACCAATGTCGTGGGTTCCCCGAGGACTTTCCACCACTCTGTGTACCTGTGCTGAGCTCTCAGCTCCAGGGCAGAGAAAGCCCTCTCAGCCTCTCAGCCATGCCTTTCATAAGGGTCAACACCTATTATGACAACAAAAAAGAGACATATTATAAAATAATGAGATGCTTTTTGACTTGATGAAGGTTAAATACCAATAATCTATAGCAGCTGTTCTCACAATGTGTTCTAGGGAAACCTGAGGGTCTCTTAAGACCCTTTCAGGGGAGTCTGTGAGATCAAAACTATTTTCACAGTAGCACTAAGATATTCTTTTCCTTTTTCATTCTCATTTTTTTCATGAGTGTACTGGGTATGAAATGTTCATTGATATGGTTTTAGATTTCTACATTGCAAGTGACCTTTAAGAAACTACCACTTGTCAAGTTTGGTATCGGATCAAAGAATTGCCTGAATTATCATAAAATTCTATTACAATGCTCTCCTGTTTTCTACCTATATGTTATATCTGTGTGATGTTGAATTTTTTTGTATACATCAACCCAAATAATGTATTGTGACAGACTGAGTGCAGGATCAGACATGAGAATCCAGCTATCTTCTATTAAGATAGATATTGACAATTTTTCAAAAATGTAAAGCTACTAATTTTGTTATTAATTTTTTTGTTTTGGAAAAAGATTATTTTCATTAAAATATAGTATTTATGTTAACATAATGGATTTATTATTGTCTTTTTATTTATTCATTTATTTAATTAACCGTTTTTTAGATACTCTGCAAAGGGTTTTTCATAAATTAACTCAATCCTCATAAAACTTCATAACAGCACAATATATTATTGTGTTTTTAAATGCTTAAACATTTTTTCTATCCAGTGTGTTAAATCCTGATAGAGTCAGGATAAATAAAATTTCTTTGAGGTCCTCAATAATTTTTAAGAGTATAATGGGACCCTGAGACAAAAAAGCTTGAGAATCATTGCTCTACAGCAAATATTATGTGTAAAGAAGAAACTTGAGGTGCATTCTCAAAAAGGCCAAGAATGAGCCATGGATGTCCTATTCTGATCACCTCAGTTTCACATTCTCCTGGAGGACCTGCCCATTCCTAAGACAAGAAATGTGAGGAGGATAAGAAATGGAAGAGAAGAAATGAAACTCTCATTATTTCTAAATGATGCAAGCTTTTACGTACAAAACCCATCAGAATCAAATGGCACACTAATGAAGCCATTAAGAGAATTCAGTGAGATTGCCATGTTTCACATAAAAATAAATTGTTTCTCAACACCAATTCTTTTTTCGTTGTTTTTTTGGCTGCGTTGGGTCTTCGTTGCTGCCCGCGGGCTTTCTATAGTTGCAGCGAGCTTAGGCTACTCTTTAATGCGGTGCACCGGCTTCTCACTGCAGTGGCTTCTCTTGTTGTGGAGCACAGGCTCTAGGTGTGCAGGCTTCAGTAGCTGTGGCTCACGGGTTCAGTAGTTGTAGCTCGCGGGCTCTAGAGGACAGGCTCAGTAGTTGTGGCACACGGGCTTAGTTCCTCCACAGCATATAGGATCTTCCCAGACCAGGGCTAACCCGTGTCTCCTGCATTGGCAGGCGGATTACTGACCACTGTGCCACCAGGGAAGTCCCAACACCAATTCTTAACAGTTAAAAAAATACAATACAAAATAGTACGAAAAACATTAACTGTCTAGGGAAAACTTTAAAAATACACAAATATTTACAGAGAAAATTTAAGTTTGTTAAAAGGTGGGGAATGTATGTCATGTTCATGGAGACGATGTTTTAACTTATTAAAGATATCAGTTCTCCTTGGATTAATTTATAAATTCAGTGCAATGCTAATCAAAAATTCCCCGTGGAATTTTTTTATGGACACAACAGATTTATTTTTTATGGATGAATAAGGGTCCACGAATAAGTAAATTAAGAAAAATAAGGGCCAAGAGGAGACACGCACTCTGGTCTCTAAGATGCGTGATCTTGGGATTTACCTCAAGGGGGGAGACAACTGTGACTGCTGTCTCTGTCTTTGGGCCAGAGGGCATCCCCAGGGACCAAGGGAACTGAGAGATGTTTGCAGCACCAGTTATGTCCAGAATAGGCCCCAGAGAAGTAGAGCCTCACTGCTTTGAAGATCGTCCTTAACCCAGATCTGGATGAAAGAATTTCACATCAAGCAATGAGTACCCATGGAGAAGTGTGTGTACCATCTTCCATCTATCTCACCATCCTACAGGCAACGTTAAAATGGTGTTGGACTGCACCTGGGAACGGTTCATGAGACATGTGGCAGAGACGGTGAGGACCCAATAGGCATCCGATCTCGTCCTCCCTGAACAGGCACAAGTAGTGCAGCCAGTGCTCTGTGGCATCAAGGTGACCGGATTGTCACTTGAGGTGTGGTGCAGACCAGGGAAGGAAGAGTGTGAACAGTGGATGGAACACACTGGGGATGTAGGAATGGAAGCTTCCGCGGGATGGATGCAGGCAGGTGGCGGAGGATATAGAGAGTGCACTTTTGGGGTTGTGATTGTGGAGTGGCAGGCTGGGGACAAAAATGTGTAAAAGCCGAGAAGAGGAGGCACTTGCACTGTGACTGACAAGAACTCTAGAACATAGTTGAACCTGCCGTTGAGGAGTTCACTAGGCCCTTGAGCATTCTGCAGAGGAGGAGGAGTGGACCGCTGCGTGTGGATTGAGACTGGAGACATTTAGGTAGGAGAGGAGAGATCACAGGGATTTACAGCAAGATACAGCAAGCCAGGCACGGATCCAACATCCACTGACAAGAGCCTCATACAGCCTGGCTCATCTGACGGCAGCGAGATGCCTGAGCCACTCCAAGGATGCCTCAGAAGTTGTGTGCAACATGTTTTTCCATTGTGTATCTGTGTCTTTGATGCTTTCACATCCTGGGGCCTCCCTGCCCCTGGAGGGACTGCTTCTCCCAGAGGTAGCCAATTCTTACAGATTAGTAAACTACCCTGTGATAGTCAAGTAACCTGTGAGTGAGCCTTTCAAATACAAACCAACCAATCCAGAACTCACACTTCAACCACCTCCTTTATTGCGCCCTCATGCTCTGGGCCACTATCCACCTGCCCTGATCATATCAGAGCCAGGTACCAGACAACTAGGAACCAGCCCCTATGCCAAGCGAGAGCTGAAAGTATTCAAATGAGCCAGTCCTAAACCCGCTCACCGTGCCTCACTGGTCCTCCCACAGAAACCACAATAAAGGCGTTTGTCACGTTTTCTCCCCCTCACTCTGTCCCCTGGCCCACCCTGGGTGCTTCCTCGTGTGGCCACCCCGCCCCCCTTGGTGTGATGTGCCCCCTTCTTTGGGGATCTGTGAGTAACAAATCGTCTTTTTAATGGCAGTTGTCTCCTGATCTGTTGGTCTTACCATCACAGTTGTCTCCCCGCTTGGGATAAATCCCAAGATCACGCATCTTAGAGACCAGAGTGCATGTATCCTCTTGGCCCTTATTTTTTTAATTTACTTATTCATGGACCTTTTTTCATCCATGAAAAATAAATCTGTTGTGTTCCTAAAAAACGTCCATAGTGAATTTTTGATTAGCAATGCACTGAATTTATAAATTAATCCAAGGAGAACTGATATCTTTACTAAGTCTAAACATCCTCTCTATGAACATGACATACACCCCCCACTTTTTATCCTTTAACAAACTTAAATTTTCTCTGTAAATATTTGTGTATTTTTTTTATTTTGAGTCACTACTTTTATTCTTTATTGTCCTTATTTTCGAAGTTTTGGCACCCAAACTTGGAAAACCTCATGGAGATTTGTATAAACGTGCATATACATATACACACACACATTAAGTTTAAAGCCTCAGTTCCTCATTAAACCTTGTGCTCAGGCTCCTGTTAAAAAGAGGTAAAATGGTGAGAAGCTAAAAATCATGGAAAACATGAATAAATCCCAATTGATAATTTCCTTGTTGTTATGAATTAAAACAGACATTTTAAGGCAAAATCTATCACCTTGCTAAAACTTCTACTAAGCAACAGACTCAGATATTTACAAGAAAATAAATAAACAAAAAGGCCTTTACACATGTCAATATGGTTTAATGACAAGCTAGCTGAGGAGTTGCACTTTGTTATTTTAGGTAACTTTCCTTTCAGGAACAGTTAATACTTTGTGTATTTTTAAAGTTTTCCCTAGATAGTTTATGTTTTTCTTACTATTTTGTATTGTATATTTTTAACTGTTAGGAATTAGTGTTGGGACTTCCCTGGTGGCGCAGTGGTCAGTAATCCGCCTGCCAATGCAGGAGACACGGGCTTGAGCCCTGGTCCGGGAAGATCCCACATGCTGTGGAGCAACGAAGACTATGTGCGACAACTAGTGAGCCTGTGCTCTAGAGCCCGCGAGCTACAACTACTGAGCCCGCGAGCCACAGCTACGGGAGCCTGCACACCTAGAGCCTGTGCTCCGCAACAAGAGAAGCCACCGCAGTGAGAAGCCTGTGCACTGCATTAAAGAGTAGCCTCGGATCGCTGCAACTAGAGAAAGCCCGCGGGCAGCAACGAAGACCCAACGCAGCCAAAAAAACAACAAAAAAAGAATTGGTGTAGAGAAACACAATTGAATTTTTATGTGAAACATGGCAATCTCACTGAATTCTCTTAATGGCTTCATTAGTGTGCCATTTGATTCTGATGGGTTTTGTACGTAAAAGCTTGCATCATTTAGAAATAATGAGAGTTTCATTTCTTCTCTT